ACTAGTTTGAATGTTGCTCGAGAGCTCTTAACCCTGGAATGCCGCGCTAAAGTCCTGTAGACTCCAGTCTATCTTCTCGTAGTTTATCTGTATATTTCATAAAGAATGCCATAGCGGACTTGTAACGTCTGCTACACCTCGCACAAGCCTACACATTGTTCAGAGAAAGCTAATGATTCTAAACGATGCGAACAAACAAATATCGATAAGTTGCTTAAAAATGAAGCGTGGTATTCCAGGGTTAACTATGCTTACTGACTGATGAATCGAGACAATCGTTGTCTTTGTACTATATACAAGCACGTGTGCGACGTATCTAATTTAAAAATGTCACCGTGCACAAATACATCGATATCTGGATCGCACAGTAATTCCTCGTTTAATGGTACAAAATCGAGCCCATCAGGTGCCCTTAATCGAGGTTCAAATTTCTTAAATATTTTAAATTGCAATCTTATAGTCTGTTACAAAATGTGATACCATTTCAAGTATTCCTAACGCAGGTGCGATCATTAAGCGAAGGAATTACTGCATCAGCCGTGGAAACAGATTATCGCTAACTATATATATATACATATATATGTAGATCGCCTATCCCCTCAAGACTTTTGGTGCGTTCTCATGTGCAAGATCAAGTTGTGCTTGTGTTTCGATTTCTTGTGGCACACGGGGCACTCGAACCGAGGCTCGACCCCGCACTCGAACTTGATATGCCTATTTAACGAATGGAGTCTTACGTAAGCGTTTCCGCACCGCGGGCACGAGTACTCCGACGAGTCGCGAGCGCCAAACGTCGTGTGATTCCCCGAAGCCTCGTTCAATATCTTCTCGGACGTCTTCTCCGAGACGACCGGCTTGTTCGGCCAGCTCTCCGAGTCCTGTTCCACGACTGGGCTCTTGTTCTGGGTGGTCGCGTTCTCCGCCATCTGATTCTCCGCTACCATTCTCAGGTACAGTGTTCGGTACTGATAGTACCAGTTGATCGCTGCACCTGGCGAGTAGCTCCGGTCTAGAAAACAGATAAGAGGATCAGTACCGTTTCGAGCGGCTCTTCTGCACGCTTCCAATGAGTCTGTGTCTGTGACGATGGTTGATGACAAGAACGTGGACTTACACAAAGCACAAATCAAGGTACACTTAACCGTTTACCATGAAAGCAATCACACGGATGACAGAACCGCCAACTTTCGTTCTCCAAGTGTTCAGGTTCTCTGCTCGCATCGTAAGCGAATACTCGAGTAATTCGCGGTCTGACAGGTGAAAGAAACGACTTGGTTAAGGAAGGAGGCTACTCGTATCGAATGATGTACAACGGAAACCTGGCGGGGGTCTCCGAAGTCGATTCGTTCACTTGTCGGACGGGAAAGCTAATCGAGAGCGATAGTATTTGGACCCTTTGGTTTGTGTTAGATTCCTCGTCGCTTCGGAGGGTGCGTGTTAATTGAACGTGAGATGCGTGAGGTCTGTTTCTCTTTGGAATTGAAGGGATGAGTTGCATCACGCGAAAGAGTTATGATTAAATTACCGCGGTAACGTTAACATGATCGCAACCACCATTTAGCTGGAATCCACCATAGATCATGTTACATCGATAACTGGATTGTAACCGATACTTCATTCATCGAAATTTGAAAAATAAGAATCTAACATAAACGATCTGCTACGATAAACTACGTGACCCATGGTAGCGAATGTGTCAAGTGTGAAGTATAGCTCGTATAAGCACCACACGGTTTTCGTTAATTCCATTTTATTCCATAAAAAGAACAGCGAGGTTTTCGATCTGGATACAATGTGTTCGGCAAATGTATCGATAACAATAATTCGATAGGAATGAAACGTTATGACGCCAAGTCGTGATTTATTAATTACCTAATAACAGAAACTAGAGAAAATAGAATCGATACTGTTCGAAAATACAACGATGATCGCGCTTTACAGTTATTGTATCCGCGGTTAGCGAGTGTCGTAGAGTCTCAGGTATCGGTACTTATATATACGTACAAATCAATTATAAACTTCGCATTTACAGTTTTCGTTACATTAACAAGTTTCGTTCGACCGTGCTCCCGATATCATCGTTCACAGACGCGAAAGAAAGTCTTTAATTCGAAGTCTGGATATAGCAGATAACGTATTATACATCAGGAAATTGTCTGCAAACGTTACAATCGCTGCTTAAGAAGAAACGGTCGAAGAACCGTAGCGAGTATTTTAGTCTAATCTCAAGGAACATTTCTGTACTTCTCTTAGTTGATAATTCTTTAACGATCGTCGCGATAAAAAATGTTGCAAAAGCGAAACGTTTCGTCTTCAACGGAGCTTGGGCAATTTGTGTCGTCCCTGGTAGTGCTCGTTCAATTTGTACTGGTGATAGAATTTTTTCGGGCACAGCGTGCAACAGAATTTTTTTTCCTTGTTACCACACTCGACCCTTTGATGCCTCAGCAAGCTGTCCCTCCACTTGTATCTCCTCCCGCAACCGAAACAAATGTTCAGCAGGATCCCGTCGCTGCTGCGCGATGGTTCCGCGTCCTGCTGGTGTTGCGGAGCGCTCGAGTAAGATTGAAATCCAGACGACATGCCATAAGACAGCTGCAACATGGAGAACGAATCTGAAATTTAAAGAAACAAACGCACCGTTTAAGAACTGTTCACGAAACTCTCTGCGTGTGAATGGAAACAGTGGAAAGATTTTAACAGAGGCTGGAAAGAAATGCGATACGGTGATTCCTCGTTTCAAGATCGAAAATCGAGACCATCGGTTGCCTCGGATCAAGAGTTGATAGAGTAACATTCTTCCAAATAATTCCTGTCTTATCGAATTATAAAATTAAGTATCTTTTCTATCGTCGTGGAGGTTCTGGAACGCTTTGAATAACATTATTTTATACCAGACGACAGTTTGAATTAATCCAACCACTTTGAGTTTGCATCGGAAGTTGAGTTGCATTGGAGATTCAGTTTCTCCAATCCCTATGCCTTTAGTTCTACCTTGAGACGAGGAATTACCGTATACAAATCAAGTACCGTCAAAGTATAAACTTTTATTTCTTGTTCGATTTTACACAGTCAAAGGTCAAACATTTCAGGTAATAATAATGTGTTATAAAATATCGAAACGATTTTATTGAACGAAAAAAATTGAAACAAAGATTAAATAAAAAAGAAAAGTTAACGAATCGTACAGTTCGTTTGAAAGTTTATGTCAAATGAAGAAGAAACGGAAAGAAATCGATTTTATAGTTTTCTGTGATTAAGTAGGTAGTGATGATCTAATTCGTAGCGTCGATTGTAACGTTTCCCGCACTCATTGCAGAGATGTCGTTTCTTGTTTTTTCCGCATTCGATGGACTGATGTCTTCTTAAATTGCTACTGTACTTGTAACCCTTTCCGCACTCGCATCGATAGACTTCCACTGGCTGGAGATGCGACAAGATTTCGCGTGATGCAGCTTGATCCATCACGTACCATTGCTCTCCTGAAAAACGAAGTCTCGTGACTAATCGCAAGGTGAAACTCGAGCACGCGAACGATTACACTTCATCGATCGATGGTCACTTTTTGGTTCCGTCGATTACGATCAAGAAAGCCTTAAAAATATCAGACAATACAAGGAAGCTCAAGGAAGACAGGTTCGCTCCAAATTATTTAACAACAAATAATTATTAAGTTCAAACAGCTTTTGATATCGATCGAATATATTTTTGAAAAATAAAATCAATTATTTTACACGGAAATAACATTTAGTTCTACGTGAACTACGAGTCTTGCTTAAGTTTATACGGCGTATCGAGTTCGCACAGAGTGAATCGCGTAACTTGTGCACCGGTATTAATTCTGTTGTTAAGGAACTGAACGAAATGTGTCGTTAAGAATTACACGGTTCAGAAGACGATTAAGAAAGTTTTTCGAAAATTTGTTAGCGCTACGGAGAAGAGATTCACACGCCATGGCGTACGACAATGTGATTTCGTAGCTCGTATCGGTATCTGAACTTCCTGTGGCACACGTGACACGAAAATTGCTTCTCCTTGTTGCCGCAGTCGACTCTTATGTGCCTCTTCAGGCTGTCCAACCACTTGTACCTCTTTCCACAAGCGGTGCAAACGTGCGAAGCTTGGAAATCCCCTATGCTTCGAGTACTCTTCTCCAGCATCCACAACGCGTTGTACACTCCCGTTTCCTCGCCACCTGCGGGAAAAGCGCAAAGCGGTAACGATCATGGAACGTTGGAAGTCGATATTTATTGCGACGACACGAAATAGTCTACAGGGACGGTCGAAAATGTGCGAAGCATCCTTAATTCAGATATCCAATACTTTATTCCTTCAGGATTTAATGGACGTACGCGCAGGTACAAATATTTGAAAAGTTCAAACAAGAGCTATAAACTGATTCAACGTTCAACATTGCAGCGATATAATATACTATTTTGCACATGTATTATTGTTGAATTTGGTGATTTGAACTGGTATATTTGATGTAAATTTAGCCAAGCACCGAGTAAACGCGGTTACTTCTCTGGGGGTGATTTGACGGTTTATTCCCGACTAAAAATACAAGGAAAGAGTCGTTTGGACCTTCCTGGAAGTGCAATGAAATTAAACGGTGCCGTTGGGGATGTAGTTTCGGAGATATAACGCTAGGCACGTCGCCTCGCGTACACGCAAAGGGAAACCCTCGAAATACTTGCTATTATTTTTCTTCAACAATTATGAGTAAATATTAACCCAGATATTTAAACCCTTACGATAGTTGACCCTTTGCAATCGAAGTGTACGAAATGTTTCGAAGATTTGATTTTTAAGAATAGAGACTAATTCTCGACTCGACACCTAACTCGGATCAGTATCAACAATCGTAAAGGGTTAAACGTTCGATCCAAAAACTCTCTTGGATAAATTTACTTTCTCCTGCCACGCAAAGTCAACAAATAAACTTCTCGTCATTTCGGAGCACCAAAGTTCGCCAGAGGGAAAGCGAATCAGAAATCCCTTTACGAGCTGGTGGTAGCGGTCTCTTTGTCCACGCAGACGAGCCTTTGGTGCCTCCTCAAGGTGTCCAACCTCTTGTAACCCTTGCCGCACTGATTGCAGTAAAACTTCTGCCTGTGAAGCCACTCGACTTCTTCTTGCAGCTTCTCCAGAGAAGCGTCGCACTTCGCCTGATGTCGTTTTAGGCTGTCCATTCGCGTGTAAGCTCTGCCGCATCCGTCGCAACGGAACTGCTGATTGGACTTGACGTTTTTCTGCGTCACGCTAGTCTCCGCGGAGTTCAGGATGGACGAGTCGCACAGTAAGTAACTCATCGGCAGCTGCCCGTGAAACGAGACCTCGCACGCCTCCGCGTTGTCCTCTTGGCCCTTCTCGCCCTCTCTCATAGCCTCCATATTCGCGCCTGTAAAGACGCGTTTCTCTGTTAAAAGTGAAAAAAGGAAATCCAGCGGAGGATCCGCGTGCAAAATTATGCGTTACGAAGTTCAGCCAACAGCGAGGAAGCATGCATCTTTCGACGTAGCCGAGTTACCTTACGTTCATCTTGTTTTCCGTGGGAAATCTTGTTAGAAGTTTGGGATCGCGATTACAGTCTGTCTAATAAGATGAGACCAGCGTAATTCAATAACTACTCGTCGCTACGCTTCGAAAATTATTGTACGGATTCGTTTGAAGCTTAGCTGCTCGTTATGATTCGCAATGTTGCAACGATGCGAAAGTATTCGTAGCACTTCTTCACGCATCAATTTTGAATACGTGACATTTTTTATTTTACATCGTTGTGTTGTAAAATACACTAAAAGTCTAATTACTTTGGAGCTAAACTTCGAATGGTCACGCTTTTGTTAGACAGACTGCATTTCAGAACGAATAAAAGAGATTAGAAAACATCGTTTCGAGAGTGGTTTTATTCAATTACGTTCGTTCGAAGAAATTGCGTTATTGCGATCCGATGAAATCATCCTTAGTTTGCACGCTCAAGTATAATACATTTGCAACATATGCTCTGCAAGCCATATATTTATCGCCCGATGAAGATTAATGTACACTTAGAATGATGAAAAGTTAAAGATCTCCTTACAAAGTTCATTACGAAAATTATTACAGGAGATTGATACACTGGGCCCGCGATTAATTCTCTGATACAAATTTCGCGATTTACAAAAGTAGCAAGATTGCACACGCGGGAATCGGACGATCTTTTTCATGAAAAAAGGTAACTATATACATAACCCAAGAAACTGAATCTTGAATGAATCCTACAAAGGAGAGGAAAGAGTCGAAGTCTCTTCTCTGCTCGTGACGACCGTTGCCTACGAGCTTATTGCGTGTCCGACTCCGAAAAAAGAATCGAGTGCACCGATTTCACGTGGTCGTTCAGAAAGGCCAGCTTCGCGAATTTTTTGCCGCAGAAACGGCAATACATTCTGTCACCCTTGACCTTGCAATAGCTTTTCTCGTGTCTTCGAAGACTGTCGGGCCGAGAAAAGCTTTTGCCGCACTCCTCGCAGACGACGCTCTTCGACGATTTCCTCCTCTCCTCCGATTTCGGCGAGTAATTGCTGGCTACGTATTGGTAAAGAGACTGTGGCAACTCGTACTTGACCTCTTGTTTCACGAACCACTGGCTCAACTGGTTGAAATCCTCTTGGTCGCCTGCGAATAACGAACAGTCGACGTTATCAAGCAGTTTCTGCGCAGAATGGCCGGGAGATTCGAGTAGAACGGGAAAGAACATGCATCAAGCGTAGTAAATATTTTATTCGCCCTTTCGAAAGCAGCCGATAGGTACAAAATCTCGTGTTATTTGTTCTCGACTGTGATGTTGTGGTCCTCTTTAAAATATAAAGAAACTGAGCTGTAATTGTCCAAAGTAATATAGATTTTTAGGAAAACTGTTTCGCTTCCAATAGCAAATTCTTGTCGACGGAACTTATAAAACGAAAGTCGTTCACAAGGAGCCTCGAGAACACGTATGATAAATGTTGCATCGGAATTAGAGAATTAGTATTTATCTCACACACGCGAAAGCAGTTTCACAGAGAGGAAATGAAGGATGCAGTTATTCGAAAAAGCAAGTGCGTTTTAATGAATGCGGTCCTTTCGTGAACGTCACGCTACAGCATTGGCATACATTTCATGCGGTATAAATAAGTTCAGGATCGGCTTCACTCGTATCGTTCGAATGAAAATAAAGAATAGTGTCGCAAAAAAGTTAGACGCACAGGTGGTAAAATTATTAGAATGTGTTACGATTAGAAGGACACGTCGTTCCATTCGAGACGTGGCCTCGAAGCGTTCGAGTATCGCGATGGAGAACGCTACTATAACAGGCAAAATTCGGCTGGTTAAACTGTCCAGGACGTCGAAGTATCCTTCTGGGCCGAGTTCTCATAGCCGTGGAGGCTGCCACTCGCGCTGTGCTTAGTGTTTAAGTGATTGGTCAGTTCGTATCGTCGATAGAACTCTTTCTTGCACATTCGACAGTGATACTTGGGCAACTTCCCGCACTCGAGTCTTTGGTGCCTGCGCAGATTCGCCATCCACTTGTACCCTTTCCCGCACTCCCCGCACATGTAATTTTGCGAGTGCTTTCCGCGAGGAGCACGAGGCACGCAAGGCCTGAAGGATACGGGAGCTGACTCGTAGGTCTTGGTGTCAACGAATTCGTAGGCAGCGAACTCGTCCATCAGGTTGGAATCATCTGGAACGCAAATCAAATCGGTTACCGAGGGCAAATCGTGGCTGACGGAGTTTAGAGTGTCCTTTAGAAGAACCGAACGAGAAATCTGATTCGGTTGCGTTCAGGTGCGTGTAAATATTAGAAGAGGCGGATTCGTGAAAATAATTTAAACGTGAAGAAGGTCGCGTGATGTACAACGAAATTACGTGACGATAACTTTATTAAATAAATGAATTTCGGGAAAAATACAGTTCGATGGATTGAGTCGTGAAGTCTGCCGGAACGACACGCGCAGATATAAAACGAAGCTCGACGTCGGTGGTAAACAATATTTCGATCCGTGAGTAAAAAACGTAGATGGGCAGAATTTTATTCGGAGGTAAAATTAATTTTTACGAGTAAGGCATCCGGAGTCTCTATTCGTTAGTCGAAGTGTTTTTAACGATAAGAATTTTGCCCACCTCTGATAACGAACACGGAACGTTTCTCTGTGCACTGTGTCCGTTAAAATGATCCACGCAACAGGAATAATTTACGTTTAACCGTCCAATTCGCTTGTCATCGACCTCGTTCTGCGAGACATCTATTGCTATAATAAAAAATTTGTGCGTGGAAGATGACACGTAAGAAGGTATTTAGAAAAGGTAGCGAATTTACGCAGTCTCGCGAACGGACGGTTAGGCGTTACGATTGGTAACCACTCGAGCGTTTTACTCTGTAGAATTACTAGAAAAAGTAACGTCTCTTTCGCACGAGAATAGTCGAGTGAAACTCTCGAGTGGACGCTCGACTAAAGCTGGCTAATTCGTTCCCTATATCAACTCTGGATGATGCGCCAACATGTGCTCTTTGAGCCTGTCGCGTCTGTAGAACTTCCTCGAGCAAAACTGGCACTTGTTCCTCGCCTCCTGGTTGCCGCACTGCAGCTGATGCCGTCGGAGGCTGTACATCCAGCTGTACTCCCTGCCGCAGAGCGAGCAGGTGAAACGCTGCTGCGGGTCCTTTTTGTTCGGATCAGTGGCGCCAGGGTAATAGTACATGTCGTTGTAGTTTTGTTCGTTCAGGAGCTTATCGTCCATCGTGCCCGTCTGATAATTGTTCGCCGTGCTCCAGACATTCTTCGGTAGATAACCTGTCGAATTAACAAATACGTGAACGAACAGCAACAGGTAAAATGAAAATACCTCGAGACAACACTCGTTTCGCACAGAATGATAACGATTATAATAAAAGGGATGCACGGACTTAGACGAGTTGAGGCGGTGATAGGCCCTCGAAGGATGCCCCCTGATATTCGATACGGAAGAAAGTTACGAATACCGAGGATGGAATTGTTCTTTAACTCAGACATTACTGCATTCCTTTTAAAATACGGATATCTATAGATCTTTGCGCGCGCAGAGCAAATGTACTTTCATAAAAATGTTTCAGTAATATTTGAGTTAAGGTGCCGACCAGATAGGATAAGTAAACCTCGATCAGGACGCAGTTCGTCGAGGCACGTCCGATTTTAGGCAATTTAATAGCATCGCATTGCTCGTTCATATTCGTTTATTTATCAGTACATATAAAACTTCACGGTCCAAATGTCTTTTGGTACGCGTTTCATCGAAGTAAACACATTTCAATTCGTTATGATATAATTACACACACTCGGTTTTCCCTCAATGCGAATTAAAAAAAAACAAGATTAGATGCTGTACAAAACAATTACGTAACCGTAAATGCATCCTCGGAGTAAAAAAGTTCTTTCGTCGCTACGAAATCGTTACGTAAACATCGATGATCTATACTACTTAAAATTTACCAAGTTCGAATATAAATGTCGTCAATTTATCGTATTATTATAAAAGTTCATCGAGCTCGAACGATATTCTCCGAACGTCGGCTAGAATCAAAAAGTGCCGGGCATTCTTAACTTCGCAGAGTGTTGGAAAGAAGGGGGGTTCGTTTAATATTCTAAATTGCGTTGGACGAGCACCCATTGCTTAGTTACTTTAAATCTTTCGAAGCCCCTTTCTCCTATTCGTTCAATATACGAGGAGACCACGAGCCTTACGGCGATAGCTTCCTTAGAGCAATTGTCTTTTCTTCGTTTCTTGGGCAAAGCTGTACAAATGAGGAGAAATACAAAGTAAAGGAGATTCAGACCCTTCCACCATCCGAACGACGCGTGGAGCCGCAAGTGAGACACGAATCGAGTGCGAAGATAAAGAAACCGTGTATCAGTTACTCCTTGAATAAAAACAAATGTTTATTCTACAATGAGCGTAGTGAGAAATTTTACTATTGTTATTCAAATGAAATTTTAATCATCTCTATCGAAAATCGCGTTGTTCGGATGGAATAATGGCTTAAGAAAGTATTCATTTTTTGGGGAGAAAAAGATCCAATCTACATTTTCTGTTCGAATATAGCGTTTAAAATATTCGTGTTAAATATTCGGAGGTTTGAAGTATACTGCATTCCATGCAAAAGGACATTTTAGAAAATGGCTTCCACAAGAATGTCTATTTTTTGGCCTGAAAAAAAAAAACAAATACTTTCTTAAAGCTTCAACGTGCAGACGACTGGCAAGTTGGAAGAACGGTTAAGGTTCGATGCACAGGTAACCGTTGGGCGAAGATCTTTCCGATCGCGTCGCGGTCGTGGCGACAGATTTCAGACCTGCTTATCGATGGGCAGGCTGTTAACACGCAGAGGTGGGCAAAACTGTATTGTTATTCGTAAAATTCAATCGCGAAGAACAGTCCCTTACGATAGATCGAATATTTGTCCAACCCTGTTGTCGAGCGAGTGACGTGTCGTAGATCGGTCCCCAGGAATATTAAAAATCGATTAATTAGACATAGCATACACCCATCAATGCGGTAAAACATCTACTCGGTGTATTCTGAAAATCTCAGGGGACTGACCTACGCGCGGAAGAATTCGAACGATGCGAGCGCTACTCTCGTTCTTCGTTGTACATTGGCGAGTCTTCGCTCTTCTCCATAATATGCCGGAGCTTCCTCTGGCAGCCGACGATGTGAGAGTTGAGGACGAATCTGTGCTTGAATCTCCGATCGCAGATGGGACAGACCTCGCAGGGCACGACGCCGCACTCGAGTCGCTTGTGACGACTCAGAGACGTCGTCGCCTTGTAAGTTTTCCCGCACCTATTGCAAACGTACTTGGCCTCGGTGTCCTTCAAGTCCTTCCCTCTTTGACTCCTGTTGGCCTTGTAGGGCGTCCCCGAGGTGTAGCACAACTGGCTCCACAACGCGTCGCTGTTGTCCAGGGGCTGGTGTATATCTTGCGACAGCAACATCGTCGCCAAAAGTCCTGAAACGAGAGGATTCGTTCGTTAGACGACTGCTCCTCTCACCCTATCGCCGTTTTCGTCCTTACCGATGGGAAGGAAATTTTATTTAGCGAGATACTTAAGCGTCACGATCCTGAAAAATCGACTTCGTCTTTTCTTTTATTCTTTTTTTTTTTTTTTTGTTTTCAATTACAAGTGCAGACCTGGCTCCGAGAAAGGGAGACGAATAGATAGAGGAGAAGAAGGATGAATAAAGAAGAGCAAAAGTAGCCTTCAAACGGGCAAGCGATAGAATAAATTGTTATTCAGAGTAGAAGTAATAGTATGCGTGTAAGTACGTAACACAATTGCTTGCATCGATCCTTCGTCGAGATCATGGGGAATTATAATCGCTCGGTCATATAATTGGATAGGCGTTCGTTTCGTAATGGATCGTGTTTATTTGAAAAGTGTAAAATGTATACAGCCGGATCGTCGGAAACGTATATTCATTTTTCTATATCGAGCACGATTATCTTATTTAGAAGATAACGATACTTGTTACCGTAGGTATGCAAAACAATGAATATTCTATAAAATTGTAAAAAGCGTCCCAGTCGAGTTCCCTCGTCGTTATCACATTCGTTGCGACGTTTCCATCGTTAAGGCATCCTCGTCCACTCACCTCCAGTGATCACGAATTTCTTTACTTTCGATAAGCCTAAACCCCATTTTGTTCCCCGTTAGCGGATCACGTATCCGTGGAAAAATCTCGTATTTCTCATAGTTCCATCTTAAGATCGTCGCAGATTTTCTTCCATACGGGGGTAGACGACGTGCGAGATGGCGTCTATGCGTTTTCTTCTGCAAGAGGGTAGATGATTCGTTAGATTGTGCTTATGCGTGAACTTTTTCCCGCAAATCGGACAGCTCAACTTTGGCTCGATGCCGCACTCGAGTTTCTGATGTCTCTTGAGCGACGTCTGCAGCTGATAGCACCTTCCGCACCTGTCGCACTTGAGTATCTTCGGTCTCCTCTTGTACCCCAGGTTCTCGATGTTCTTCACCGTGACCCTCGGCGCTGAAAGACACAGAAAAAGGTACGAGAATAAAAGCCAGTAAGGGGCAGCAAATTTTTCGATTATATTTATTATCCCAACGATTACACGTGAACCTAGAGAACCTTTCTCGAACCTTAACTCTGAATGTAGCAAAAAAAGAGGAAATGCATTTCTTAGGTGAAGTTTGTTGCCCTTTTTTTTTTAAACTATGCGTTAGAGTGTATAGTATGGGTCTGAATCGCAATATTGTTCGAGAAACTTACGTGCACATCTGTTTCTTTATGCATGGCGATGAGCGAACGATATGTTTCAGAAGAGGTTATATGTACAAAAATATACATCGATTAGACGAGACGTGTATACAAAGTGATTTATTGATAATTGAGTTTGACATTCGTGTATGTAGAGAATATTACGCGAAATAATACTGTTCCATTAAATAAAATAATAAAAAATCGTTCGACAATTTTATCTATCGTTACCAGGGCCAAATTAAGATTGCTTAAATCCCTGAGTTGCATGTACCGTGAGTAATATTCTTAAGAGAATAACTGCATGCTTTTATTTTAACCTAATTCGACCTTCGTAACTCGAGCATTTCGCAACAAAACAACATAATTCTCGATTGCTTCTTTTTAATTTATCCTAATGTCATATTACGCAATATTAAAAATATTAGATTAAAGTAATAAAACAAGAAATAATAATAAGAACATAATATTGTTCATAAAATTAATATATTTGTAAGAAATAAACAATATAACTAATAACGTATACGATATTGTCAAAGAAAATTGTAATCGTGCTGTAGATTATTCGGTAGTTACCAGTTAATCTAAAATTCAATCTCAATTATATTTGATAGGAACACTTACAAAGAAAGAAAAAGTTAAAAGGTCGCAGGATAAATTTGTAAGGGATTCAATGGGCGCAGATTCCCTATGTTGCAACAAGAATTTTTTAATTTTGAAAGTTTCCTTGCAAATGACACGTCCATTAAACGCTCTTAGATTTCGGGATGAAACCAAGTTATTTACACGTGTTGACGGTTCGTCAATGAATCACGGCGACTAGCTAAATTATACGGTTTCCTTGGTCAGTCACATGCTGATATGGTGAATCAAACGTGCGATCTGCAGTGGTGTTTGTACTTGAACTGTCTCTCACAAGCCGGACATTGGTAAGTGGGATCCTTGCCGCACTCTACTCGAATGTGTTTCGACAGCGAGGCCTTGTGCACATATTGCTTGCCGCACTGGAAGCACCGCCAGGATTTCAAGGGATTCAATGGTTTACTTTCAAAATTACGACGTAGCCGCGAAGATTTCATACGTTTCAACGAGGATTTTTTCATTTCAAAAGGTTTCTTGCAAACGTCAGAATCCATTAAACGGTTTTGTACGTGTACTTTCAGTTGGTGGGACCGAAGCCGGTCCTCGTCTTCGAAAAACTTTTCGCAGATCGGACAAGCCACCCTTACGACGATAAACTTGAAGTCCGCTATGCTATCTGAAAGCACATTTATTTATTGTTGGAGGATTCCCTTGCGCCGAGCCTATCTTACATACATTCGATGGCATGCTTATTTTTCGATTGGGTACCAATGTTTGTAAATTATGAGAAATCAGAGTCATCTGTATAAATAATGAAATGATTAAGGAGTACGAACGCAAAAAGCCCAAAACTCAGAATCAATACAACGTTTATTTATTTTCTTTAAACAAGTACCAATTGCAACATAATTATTCTCGTTTTTGGAACAGGCGATGTGAAAGTATGGATATGCAAAAAAAAAAACAAAATATAACGGAATGCTTAAAAATAATTTGTTTTTGCTCGAAGCCATGAACTTTTGAAACATTTTTGACATTTACACAATGGATCAGTGTAGCGTTCAAACGACACGTGGGAACTAAATTTTTGGATGAAGGCAAGTCACCTACAGGCGTTGACAGTTCGTCAACGAATCATGGCGATTAGTTAAATTATGTGGACACCTCGGTCAGTCATATGTTGATACCGTGAATCAATCTAGCGTGCGATTTACAGCGATATTGGTACAAGAACCTCCTCCCACAAACCGGACACGAAAAAGTGGGTTCCTTGCCGCACTCTATTCGAAGGTGATTCTTCAACGAGCCCCTCCACACGTATTGCCTACCGCATTGGAAGCACCACCAGGGTTTCAAGGGATTCAATGGTTTAGTTCCCAATTTAGGATATGGATGCGCAGATGCCATATGTGCCAACAAGGATTTTTTCATTGTGAAGCTCTCCTCGCAAAAGTAACAATCCATTAAGCGCTTTTGCGAGTGTGCTTGCTGTTGGTGCAATCGAAGCTGATAATGATTTTTGAAAAACTTTTCGCAGCTCGGACAGGCCACCTTTACGACGACAAACTTGAAGTCTGGTATGTTATCTGAAAGCAGATTAATTTATTGTTAGAGGATTCCTTTGCGTCGAGCGTATCCTACATACATTCGATCGCATGCATATCTTTCGATTGTATACCAATGTTTGCAAACTATCAAAAATTGAAGTTCCCATACGAATAATGAAATGAAGTATGGAGTATGAACGCAAAAAGCCCAAAACTCAGAATATACAACTTTTATTTATTTTCTTTAAACAAGTACCAACTGCAACACAATTATTCTCGTTTTTGGTACAGATGAGGTGGGACGTGAAGGTAGGGATGTGCAAAAAAAAAAGAACAACAAAATATAACGGAACGATTGAAAATAATTTGTTTTTGTTCGAGGCCATGAACTTTTAAAACACCTTTGGCATTGACGCAATTGATCAGTCCGGCGTTCGATCGATACGTTTGAATTAGATTTCGGGATGCAAGTTATTTACACGCAGTTGACAGCTCGTTAACGAATCATGGCGACTAGCTAAATTATGCGGTCTCCTCGGTCAGTCAGTCATATGCTGATACAGTGAATCAATCTAGCGTGCGATTGCCAGCGGTGTTTGTGCTTGAACTTTCTCCCACAAACCGGACACTGGAAAGTGGGATCCTTGCCGCACTCGACTCGAAGGTGCTTCTTCAGCGAGTCCCTCCACATGTATTGCTTGCCGCACTGGAAACACCACCACAGTTTCCTCGCGTTGTCTGCAAAGAGAAATCCAGTCGTTAATGGGGATATTTCGCGAATTTACGCGCGAAACTGTGGCTTCGAGGCGTGGACGTGTCTTGATATTCGACAAAACATAATTGGAAACGCGGAGTTGGTTATGTACGATGCATGCACACACTGGACGGTTTCGCAATCGCACAAGGAAGAAAGGGATACGAAGTGTTCTCTTTTTACTTCAAACTATATTCTGAGATTTCACGTGGCACACGTTTACATACAACAAGGAAAGAATGCGACGTGTGTCTTCGCGATTCGTTGAGTTTTGAAAAATTGATCGGTTGATTTCATTCGCTATCGAGCTATGTAGTTGCTGGATAATTAAACGAAACCATTCTTAGGGACTAAAATGGTAACGCGTAAAAACAAATGAAACAAGGAAATGTTGCGAATAGCGAACAAAATTTGGCAGAGGTGTGGCGAAGGGATTGAACGTCGTACAAGCAAGCACCGACACAGCTTTTTCTAACGCAATGCAGGTTCTTTCGCGTGGAAAGTAGATGATTAAACCTAGCCGAGGATGTTGTCGACGTCGCGACGTACACGTCGTTAGAAGTTAATACCGTGCACGCATTTGGCGTGCGACATCCAGCGATGTTTGTGCTTGAACTTCCTGCCGCAAATAGAACACTTGAAAGCAGGCTCTTTGCCGCATTCCACGCGGATGTGATTCTGCAGGGAACCCCGCCAGAGGTACCGTTTCCCGCATTGAAAACAGGTCCACTTCTTCAGCAAAACTGGAAAAGGAGAAGCGTTTCACGGTGGTTAGCGCTTCAGGCTAAAGAAACGATTAAGAAACGATACAGCGCTAGCAGTACGAGCGTTACCGTTGTATACTCTTCGTTGCGAATCTATGACTTAAATTACAAACACAAGTAGCCATTATTATTTAGAGTAGTATGTGTTTCTTCCTGGTGAAGATCCTCTGGAAATATATAATTTAGAACAATAAGAATACTATTCTAAACAATAATGCTTGTAACGACTACTAGTGTTTCAAGTCACTCAAGCATCAATCATCGAATCGTTTGCAGATTAATTGACAAACAAAGTCGTTTACGTCGAAGACCGTGCACAATCTCGAAGCGATACCCTCGACGTCTCAAGTAAATTAGGGGTTTTATTATTAAATAATCATCATGGAACCTTTATTGCTTGTATAGCCTTGTGTACAATGCGTTGGAAGCCCTAGTCGTAAAAAACGTGTAATAAAATAACGGTTTATGCGGTACTTTCTACAATGAAGTTTCTCGATTGATTTCTAACGTGTAGATAAAAATATATTCCAGCCTCTGCTTCCTTGAAGCGATACAAAAATGAAAAGCGTCTGTGCCTCTGCGTGGAAGTTCGAATTGGCGAGTCCCATCAGTCTTTGTTGTCTCGGGTCAGTTTATCAGCTGCGTTGCTGTTTTAATATCCACAAGCAATATTTAATATTTATTCGATCTCAGCTGAAAAGTGACTTTTTACGAATTTATACAAAACGACTGTCCCCTGAACGTTTTAGACTATCGAAATCGTCGGTTGTGCAAATTCGACGCGAGATGCGATTGCAGTCTGTGCTTATATTTGAACCTCCTGCCGCAAAGAACGCAGGTGAACGCGGGTTCTTTCCCGCAAAGGCGGAGGTGCGTGTACATAGAAGATTTTCTCGAGTAGATCTTGCCACACACTCTGCACGGGAAAGCGGTTTCTTGGCCGGCATCACCTGAAACACAAGTCATGAATCGTGCGTGGATGCAGAAAACAGGTGTTATCGCGATTGTTTTATCGATTAAAAAAAGGATTAATTGTTTCGTGTTATTCGCGAACTTGAACTAGTGAATTTTGGGGAAGGGATGGGAAGAAGCCGAAAGAAACATTGGTTAAACGGGCGTGTCTTTGTTCAAATGATTTATATAAATATGGATCGCAGAATGTCTTGCTCTCTGTTTATTGCTCGTCATCCGTTTCTCGTACTCTCCCAGCAATTGTGCTGTCAATTCGAAAACTATTCACTGAATACGAGAACACGCAGTGAGTCGTTTCATAATGTTAACGCAACATTTTTACTGAACACGAAACATTTATAGCAAATAGCGCGAAGGTTAGGTTTGGTGTTACGACAAACGATCGACGAAATTCATAACGTTGCCGCGCCAGCGTAAGTTCGCGACTGTCTGTCCAGTTCCTTGGTCGATTCGTTGTTCGACTGCCATTGGTCAACGTAATTGTGAATGGCCCTTTGGTGTTTCGTGAGGTGGTGCTTGTGCTTGAATTTTCGTCCGCATATCTTGCAAGGGAACCGCGGCTCGATGCCGCATTCCATTCGTTTGTGCAAATTCAACGACTCTTTCCATTTGTACGTTTTCCCGCAGTTGTTGCACAGATAGCTCGGCCGAAACACATAAATAGGTAAACCTGAAATCACAAAACGGTAGATTTTTGTTAGCGTCGCAGAACGAATAGTCGATCCGGCGTAGGCAAACGTGCCTTTTGTCTTCGAAAAGGGATTTAGTCGTCCTAGTTTCACGATGGGCCGCGTATCATTGGAAAACTCAACCGTGAATTTCTTCGAAAATGCTTCGTTTATTATTGAATCTTGAAAATATATACAGTAGGATCGTATAATCGTATCGTTCGATACGTTACAGGAACGTACAAAAGTGTAATATTAGGAAGTCGCCTACTAGTTTCTTACTAGTAATACTTCATGAACAATGCCGATATATTTCATATGAAACGAATGAAAACATAATGCTAGTATTGGAAACGATGAATAGAAATGAAAAATATTCAGTCGACATTGATAAATCGCTTCCGTGCCTGCGTCAAGAAATAAAAAAGGAAAAGGGAACAAAAAGAAAATAAGAATGGTTTATTGATTATTGAACCAATTCAATTGGTCGCATTTGTAGTGACGTCTCTTCGTATGCTCTTTCAAATGATGCTTGTGCTTGAATCTTCTACCGCAGAAGACGCAGCCGAACTGCGGCTCGATTCCGCATTCCAATCGACGGTGCTGCTGCAAAGACTCTTTCCATTTGTACCTTTTCCCGCAAGTGTCGCAGACGTGCTTCTTAAGGTTGCCTAAAATTCAACGACACGACAAATTTATACTAACGCCGGGAGTATCTTTCCAGGCGATCGTACGCGTGTTGCAACATTAAACGCAGAACGTAGCAGTGGCTCAGCGTTTACAATCAAATCGAGACCTTCATTTGTAATACAGTTTTCAATGGAAACAAAAATTACACAAAATCGTATATAACTATGTATAAACGTTGTTTACTTATAGCCTGTACGTTTCTCACTAATGAAAGTAAACTCTCGTCACGTTACGTATTTTTGTCATTTTTTCCTGGGATAACAATCAAACACTGGTCACCACATGCTTCACAGAAAGTACCTGAAATGTTCAAGATTTCATGTATCACGTAGGAACCTACAACCTTTCCCGATACAAGTACTAACATCATTTAGACTAATTCTTATTTCATTAAGAATCTATCCAACGAGGAGCCCAGACGAAGGCCGATACAGATTTCGTACTAATTAGACGTCACAGTACACACTAAATCACTGGTTCGTTCTACGATCAATGTTAGTACACCTAGGACGACTACAATAAGTATTACACATCGTCGGATTAGACACGTGCAAATCGTTTTTGTTATTGGCTACTTGAAGGGACACGCGATAGCGCCAAGGTATAAAGAAGTCGGTGTTTGTAATGCTGCACGTTCGTTTTGTTAAACATCGAACAGACACTCGTGTCGCGACAGGATACACAGGATGCCGTGCAACTGATGGCACCGGTAGAACAATATTTTTTAGACGTAAAGAACTTGGATACGTCCGACCATTCCTGGCTATTTCCACTTGCGTTGGTATCTACCACTGTCGATGCAACTTCCACTTTCACCACCAGCTGTACAGCACCCTGTACACGGAATCTAAAAAGAAATTTTCGCATTTCTTCGTACACTGGCATCGTAAAAACTTCGTCATCCATTGACGTCCAATTGTGAGCGTTAGTCAGATGCATCTTCAATTGATCACTGTGACGAATCTTGAGATTACAAACGGGACACGCGAATCGCGGTCCTCTGCCGCATTTCTCGCGTTGATGTCTCGTCAAAGATGGCTTCCAAGTGTATTGTTTCCCGCAGGCGTCGCATGAATATCTCCCGCGATAACGCATGTGATACTTGGATTTCGTACATCCTGCAAAGAGAAATTGGGCATTAGACTTTATTCTGCCTGTCACGAAATCCCTTGCTGCTCTTTATTTTCATTGGCTATCGCGTGAAACGATATTTGTGGTACCTTACTCGTCCTTTATTTTATCGTCCCGTTTATTACCAAAAATTCGTATAATATACATACATACAATTTCTTCCGCAAACTGCACAAAGTCGAGTGAATCGAGAATAAAAAAGAAAGATTTGATCGAACAATCACCGCAGATTACCATATTTGCCCTAACAGGGAAAGTAAATTTACATAATACAACCGTTTTCGAGCTGCAACCGTATGCAAGAAATAATGTCTTAAGTAAAGTCGATCGAGAAGCTATTCTTTCTCCGTCTGGCACCATTTTAGATAGCAACTTGCGATAGTTTCCTCGGTAAAAGCAATCGTTCCGCACTGATCTCGTTAAATGTTCTAGCTTAAGTGTTCTTTCCATCCGGGGCGTTCCACTGATGAAGGTTGACCAGGTGCTTTTTCAGCATCCACTTGTGGCGGATCTTTGCTCCACAGATAGGGCAACAGTACTGCGGATCCTTTCCACATTCTTCTCGTTCATGCCTAATCAGCGACTGCATCCATCTGTACTCCTTCCCGCAGACCGAACAGGAGTGTCTCCCGAATCTCTTGTAGTAGTCTGGACTGAAGTAAACTGAAAGAATAATAAGCTTCTGTAATTATATTCGTAATTGCGCGATCTGGAATAGCTTGTATTCGTGCTTAGATGCAAATCGGTATAAATGCACGGTAAAGGACGGCTGTCAACCCCGTGCATCGGTTATGACGACTCAAGACGCTTTAGCTTTCGTTCAATACTCCGTTGATTCTTATTCCTTGAAATTTTGTCTTGATTGCAATACCGTTGCAAGACTACTAAGACCACTAGCACAGCAATTCGTTCACCGGCCTTGGAATTCGTCTGAATTGAGATGTTCGATTAGAAAAGGAAACGACGAAGACGAACACTGTAGAAGTGTAGTATGTTCTAATCGATACACGCCGAGTTTGATATAAAGAACGAAACAAATTGCTAATATGCGCTTTATTTACATCACAACATTGTTTAACAAACGGTACCGAAGTAAAAAATGGTACTACGATCAGCGAGTAGTTAAGTATGTACATACACCTATTATATTCCGTTTTGTCTTTTCATACACGTCGATCTGTAACATGTAAAACACATATTCACATTATACACGTATAAAAATGTCGAAGGACGTTAGGAATACGAAGATGATAGTTGGCCGGTTCGAATGGACCTTCTTCAACAGTAACGAAAAACTAATGAAAATAAAAATTACAAGTACGTGTGCGACAGCCTGTGGTTCAACCTACATTAACAACGATAAATTATATAATTTATTATCCGTTTCAGTCGATGAGAACTTACACCCAAAGTAAACGATGAATTAACGTGGTCACATAATTTATTATATTACGTAATAATCCTAGGAAAACGATTAGGAAATCGAGTTTAATGCACAATTGAACAAATTGAGACAAATTGTAACTGTTACCCCTTTCAAGAGTTTTGACCGATCAGGAGCATCGGTAGGTGTTTTAGGATGAACAATTTAAAAGATCGCGAAATTTAGATCTTGAAAAGGATTACAGTTAAACGTTAACGCTCTCGAGTCGATGATATCAGTCTTATAGACGAACAAGTCTTTGAATCTCGCGTCGGTGTCGTACAGTTCAACAGAGTCGCCAGTCTAACGTTCGATGTCCACGAATCGTATCGTTGCACACTTTGTTTCGCAGTCAAGCACCGGCATTACATTTTAACTAACAGTGCCGAATTAGGATTGAGCAGACCCTTGGGCCACAGTTGCTACCAAGTCGAGCGAAAAGAAAATCGAATTTATTTATAAAAGATTAACAAAAATTAAAACTCAACGTTACATTGTTTGAAATTGAAAATTCCCAACTGGCGATTAACCCTGTGGCCCTTAAGGCCTTTGCTCTCATCCAGTCCTGTGAACTAGCGTCGAGACCGACGCTCGGCTTATCGTTACCAAGGAACTTACGTACGAATTAGAATACACATACCGTACTCGGAATGTTTAGAAAGCACAAAACCGTGAGAAAATCTCGATATAAAATCGCGTGCGCTTAGCGCAGCTTTATCAGTCGACGAGGTCTGCCTGTCGCAGATTGAGAAAAAGTTTGACGTAGCCAGAAGCGCTCCCGAGCCCTTTCAGATCATCTTGTGAACATTGGTCTCGTGTCGCAACAAATAATCTCTACGTTTGAACTTCCTACCGCAGAGGGTACATTTGTGCCTGGGCAATTTCCCGCAGCCTTCCCGCAGGTGTCTGGTCAGCGAGTCCGTCCACGTATAACGTTTTCCGCACTTGTAACAGATGAATGGGGCGTCGTAATTGACGCGGTTGTGGTCCCTCTTCGGGTCTGAAACAGATCGCAAAGAGAACGACGATGAGACCAAATGGGGCTTCGTTTTAACGGAGACATCCTTTCTCTCGGCGAGAAATGGCATTATCATTGCATCTTGCGAAGACGTTCTTAGTACTGCCCCACCCACACCGGAACTTTCATGAGCGCGAGATAAAGTGGACGACTAGGGGAAAAAGGAGAATCACCGACTGAAAGGTTAAAGGATTTCTTTATTGTTCACTCTTTCATCCAATCCCATCTGAGTGGATTCGGCCTGCTGCAATGTTAACAGGAACTTTTAGACGCGGAGAGACGGTAGCAAGTATTGTAACCTACTAAAAGTATATAAACTGTAATCAAATGTAGCACTGCGTTCTAGGTTCTCCTTTTTTGTAGAATAAAACCGTATATGCGTACTTTCACTCCGAATATGATGCTTGTAAACTCACGGAAACTCACGTGGAAATGCTGAAAAGAGATACAAACATCGCAAAGATAAAACACGACAAATCCAAACCCTTTTTTCATAAATTTACTATAGTCAAAAGAGGAGAACCTGAAAGCTGGCGATTTAACCACAGTTAGAAGGCGAAATAAAAGTTGCGTTCTTATATTTACTATAAAAGTATGACACTGTTTTCGGGTGAAACAACAGCAGGTCATCCTTGAACTTCCTGTGGCGGAATTTCCGATCGCAGACAGAGCACACGTAGGTTGGTTTTGTAGTGTATGGAGTCGAGATCAAAGAGGTAATTTTTAAAACGTCCAAAAGTACGCGTATTGATAGTAGTTTTTGTATAGTTTTTGCTTTGTTGGCCGGAGGGGACCGTCGGTGCTCGTATTGATAGTAACATCAATAAGTAATTACGTGGACCGGCTCCAAGTAATACTCGTGTACATATAACTAATAAACTAATTAATACTCTTGCGTGAACCCACTTAATATTAGGTATAACTTTCAATATATTACAGGTTCCAATCCGCATTCGAACTTTAAGTGTCTGTTCAACGAGTGTCGCTAACGGTACTGCTTTCCGCAATTCTTACAAACGGATCTTTGCGGCTCTCCGCCGCATTCCAGCTTCATGTATAGTTGAAACGACCGCTTCCAAGCGCAGCTCCTCTCGCAGTCGCTACATTGGTAGCAATTCGAGTACGTCGAGGTCGTCTGCGACGAATTGCCGCCCTGAAACAATAGTTCGTTCGTCAGATGAACGAAAGCTACACAGCGTTCTGCTACATGGACAATTTTACAAATTTTGCTTTCACGGCTGCTCGAATATCCAAATAAACGACGAATGACGCTGACGTGTCGATCGAGTGTGCACTTGAGCAAAAGGAAAGCTACGTTGTTGGTTATTTACCGTATAGAAGATAAACGATCGCGTCGAGGGATGAGAAATTCGCGCTGCATAGAAAATCGTGCCTTTATTCTGCAATGACTATAACGAAGTTGTCGTTGCCTCGATCAAGCAGCGAATACAAATTTTCTCAAACCATTTCAGACTTACTGTCCTTCCTTCGCGAACGAAAACATCGCTTGAAAATGGTTCGCGAAACGTTGCGCTGTAAAGATTAAGAAAAATCGGGTCACATGATGTATCCGTGGACCGTCCAGACGTGTCGCTGGAAATTCGACCGTTGCTTGAACGCCCTCTGACAGTAACGGCACAAATACTGAGGCAATTTCCCGCACTCCTCCCTCAGGTGGCGGTTCAGGGTGCTCTTATTCGTGTAGGACCTACTGCACTTGCAACAGGGGTACGGTTTGCGGATATCGTCCCTGGCGACGTCTCTGCGAAATCTCGAGTGACCTGAAATCAAAATCGAAACACGATCGATTGAATACGCGCACCGACAACTGGACTCTCTTCTTCTCTCGCATCAACTCGCATAACTCCTCTGGAATACCTTCTTCGTTCGCAGCTTGCGATGTCATTGTCGAAAGCATCGCGAAAAGAAAATAGGGGCATTGCTCACGAGCAACGAGACTGAAACCGAGTTAAATTTTAAAGAAGCAAGCCATTAATCTGATCTTGGGAAAGCGTGTTTGTAAAATGTATCTACCGAGCACTGTATAATCGTATTAATAATTTTTGTCGAGACTTTGAAAGTGGAAATATTCTCGCATAGAAATTTAACAGTGAAAAAAAGCGGCACAGAGATAAAAAGAAAACGAACAAAACGAATTGAAGATTGCTTTACGAGAACTACTCGATTAACGAGGCGGCATTTCGTGTAACAAAATGGATCTTCCGGTCGTTCTTCCTGTCGATATCCTCTTGATCTTCGGGGATCGTGGCGGGGAATGTGTATCTTCCAGTAGGTAGAATCTTCCCGTGAAGACGAAAAATGTTAAAACATGATTTGCCCTTGTTGTTACAATTTTATTACCGCGTACTTCGATATTTATAATAAAATTATAATAAACTACAGTTACACGTAGCGAAACTAGATTACGTATAACCAAGGCCTCGGCGAACATCGTTTTCATTACCCTTCTCAAAGATAACAATTATTCAACGTATCACAGAACATCTCTTACAGAATGAAATTTCTTAAACCAATTTAACAACGCTATACCTTCCGACCCATGCAGTCTTTTCGAGCATCGAACCATGATCGGCCGTCGTATTAAATAGTTTATCGCGTGTTCGCAGTCCCCGAGAAACTGTTTTCTTTTTCCTTTCATTTTTTTTTTTTTGTTCCAATTAGATTCAAAAACGAATCCCTCAGTCGCGCAACAAAAATAAAATTTCTGGGGCACAGGACGGGTCCGCGAAAAATGTTGCAAAGTGCGAAGCCTTATGTTGCTTAATCGCTTATGTAACTAGCGACGGAACCGATCTAAAACACTCGTCGATGTCGATACGCTCGATCGATTGACGTTGAACTTTCCGATCTCAAGAGTAACGTAAAACCTGTTCCGAGTCGAGTACGTTTGTTTGCCAGCTCGGTTACACATAATAAACGAAAACTTTACTTTGGCAAACGAACAAATAAAAATATGTAATAATATAAAAAAAAAAATAAATAAACTTGTTTAATTCACGTTATTGTCAAGAGACTCGACTTGTACATAACAAAATAAACTTGTTTAATTTACGTTGTTGTCAAGAGACTCTCCTTGTACATAAAAATATAATAAGTAGAAAGTAAATTACTTCGTATCAATTCTCGCTCGAAATACCCTTTCGCATACTTTATTCGCGAGGTAAGACGATTAACCACCACTTTAGTACTTGAACCAAGATAGTTGGTTAAAGACAGTCTTTATCTTTAAAAGAAGACAATATTCAAGAAATAAAACTTAAATAAAAATTACTTCCAAGGATTCGTCACGTTCGGATCGCCCGATTATTAAGATAATAGCGATCGATCAACCAGTGACCCAAGCGTATCGATGGTGTCGAAACGTGTCTCGGTTCCATCGCTGCACTATGTGAGAACCGTTGATAGAAGTAGCAATAGTGAGCGTACGCAAAGAAAAAAGGCTAAATGCTGAAGTGGAGCTACACATATACATAAAGAGAGCAGAAAGTGCACAAGTCGCGTAAGATTTCTGATTCTGAATCTCTGCAGAGAAGCTGTTTCAGGGACCCGATAAGAACGTTATCTTCCGACGACGATGGGCTCTTCGTGGGCATATTCGGCCCTCTTCACGGGCCGAGGAGGAAAATTCGGCCATGGATGGTCGAATTGTGGCGCTGGAAGTTAGCCTTTTGCTTGAATCCCTTGTCGCAGATGCTGCAGATGTACTGTGGCGGTTTCCCGCACTCGTCTTGGAGATGACGCTTCAAGCTGCCCTTGTTCCTGTAGGATCTACCGCATTTGAGGCACGGAAATGGCTTCGGCAAGAAATCTTGGCCCCGCGACGACGTATACCTGCTCCTCGAGCAATTACCTGTAATTTAGAGGACGAAAGGCGTCGATTATTCGATCTAATCTTGGTCAAACTGATAGGAGAAGCGCGTACCCGTAAAACAGATCTCCAATGATGCCGGAAATACGCTTAATTACCAGTCCCATTGCTGTGAACACTGTTTCCACGTACAATAGCGCGCAGTTTAATGAAAATGACCATCAACTGTGAAACACAATTCGCCTGCTCGAACTTGGACAGTTGTCGCAAGCTGAAAGCCCGTACATTTTTCAAAATAATACCGAGTGCTTTTAATTTTACGTTCAATTTTACATTCACATTTAACCAGGCACTACTGTACGTCAGAGTAGTGTGTACGCACGTGACAATTCTCGGGCAAAAATTGCGACATTAACCTCTTGCCGTACTTTGACGAGTCTGACTCGCGATGAAGATTTTGTTCCAAACATGAATACCACGAGCCAAGCTTGTAAACAAATAGTCGGGCCACAAAGAAACACCAGTTTTCAGCCCTAGTTTTAGTCGAACAAAGTGGTACGGGAAGAGGTTAAGAAACGAAAGAATGATCGATGCGTTTCGAGCACGAGGGAAAAAGTACTGTTCTCGAAATTATGTGACTGCGGGAAAGGTGTCGATAAGCTTTCGGTTGATCTTCAGTGATGACACTCGTTGGCATTCGCACTTTCGTGTAACGATTTGGGATTAAAATAAACAACAACGTATCGTGGACGTTCTACGTGTTACTTCACATGCTTTATTTTCAAGAATAATGTCGCGTAGGTGACTCGAGACAGACTCGCTTCCTCTATGAAACAAGGAGAATCGCTATTGTACAACGGGAAAATGGTTTGGTATCAGAGATAGGCGGCAATTTATGGTCCGGTCGAACGGTTACTCGAATGAGTTTTTAATCGTCCATCGTGAAACCTAGTTCGATCGTAATTTTATTGGACAAATAAAGTGTGTAATATTGTCGCCCATTTCTGATCGGTGCTGGACGAATCTGTTTCGAGGATTGTTTATAATTTTCGTTTGGTTTCTCTTCTCACGGGTCGCTCTCACATCTTGAAGCCGTGCACGTTCGCGCTGTGCCGCTGGAAATTCGACTTCTGTTTAAAGCCTTTCGTGCAGACGTAGCAGATGTACTGAGGATTCTTTCCGCACTCGTCGCGCATGTGGCGACGCAACGTGTCCTTGCGGGTGTAGGATCTTCCGCAAGACGGGCAAGGATACGGTTTTCGACGGGAACGAGCGTCGCCTGCGTCGATTTTTCGCTTCCATTTGTACTCTGTAATAGAAAGAAAAAATGCCGATGTCGGCCAGTCATTTTTCGTACACCACTGAATAATCGAGCTGACAGAACGCGAAGCAAAGCTAACAGATAACGGTGAGGTCGAAGAATATACTTTCCAGATCCTTCTGAAATATCCACTCCAATTTCCTGATCCTCGTGTTAAATTCGATGTAAATGTTGCTTGTTATGATAAAATGACACGCGGGAACGGCAATCGCGCGTAGTTTAGACGTGTTATATTTAAACGCTCGAGTTAAGGGTAACTTGAACATTTCAATATAATTCGTTGAAACTTGGTTATCGACACCAGTAGATCGCATGCAGAAATGAAAATTCGTCGAGGAAACACTAAACGAACGATAAGGATCCGAGGGATAAAGTAATCGACTCTTACCTGTTGCCCGTTATCGGACGCACTTCCTATCAAACCGACTGTGCGACCAAAATACCGAGAGCAGAACGAAAAAATCAGTTCGGACTAAAATAGAAAGTTCACGGGATCGAACAATGTTTATTGTAAAAGTTTCGGGCCACGGTGTCGTGTACAAGATATTTTTGGCATACCATGAATTCTATTTGCAGTTAATCGCTAAACTAGTTCGTCGTTCTTTTCTCCTATATTCTCTCCTCACGCTCTTTTCTCAACGTTTTTGGTCCTCGAGCGCGTTTCGTCGCTCTGTGAGAGTTCATGCAAATTGTCAGCGTCCTTCACTTTTCGATAGGATCAGTGTCTGAATGTGTCGTAGCGTCCGTGTATGTTGAGCAAGTGCCTCTGAAAGCTGGATCGTTGTTTGAACGTTTTTCCGCAGTGCGCGCAACCGAATTGTGGTGCGACACCGCACTCCTCGCGAAGGTGACGACACAGGGACTCCTTCCACGCGTAACTCTTTCCGCACAGGTGACAGACGAACGGTTTCAGCCGGTCTGAATGGCCCTTGACGAGAATGGGGCCCCAAACAACTAAAAACATTCGAGAAAGGAAGCAGCATCAGTGAAATCCGTTTGCGCGAACCTCAACGCTGGTGGTCGACGCTCGGCTAGGAAAAATGTTGTTATTGTATCGTTTCGAATAGTGGCTCGGTGCGATGATACAAAGTAGAAAGTTCCTCCACCGCTACTGAAAACGTAACGCGAGTAATAATCGACAGGTCTGGGTTAGTGAAAGGAAACCGTCTGTTATCCAGCATGATAACACACGATCGCGAATATTTCTCGGAGAGCGAAACGCATCCAAATCCAATCTCACAGTTCGATAAATAGAAATTTATTTATCGGAATCGATAACCAACGTTTCGGACAATTTGTATTACGGCTTTCTGCAGGTCGAATTTAAAATAATACAACAGAAGCTTGTAACGAATGGAATTTGAGATAGTTTCGACGCGTTACAAGCTTAGATAATATTATACTATTCAAGATTCAACCCCAAGGGCCGCGATACAATTGAGCGAAACTCTTTATTCCAATAAACGAGTGGCTATTTAATGCTTCGAAGACCAATGCTTCAACCAAGATGACTCGTATTTAATTCGTACAAAATATATCATTCGCTTGGCGTTTATTCAATCTGTCGTAACAATACGTTCGGAGGAACGGAAGCTGCCCCAAAAATGGGCGAGGTGGAGTTCAATTCGGCTTGTGCATGTTTGTCAGGTGATAGGTGAGGTGGTGTTTCCGCTTAAACCTTCTGCCGCACACGATGCAAGCGAACTTCGGCTCCGTTCCGCACTCGTATCGCAAATGCTTGTACAAGGAATCGCGTCTCACGTATCGTTTGTTGCAGTTGCTGCAGCTGTAAGGCTTCGCCACGTACTGCTGCTGGCACGGCCAACCTGAAAACGAGATAAATATATATTAGAAACATCCTTCTCGCGCACTTGATCTTCTCGCCTGTAAAAATTACAATGATCCCTAGGTAACTGAAATGAAATGATATCCATCGATGTTCGAAACTCAACCTTCCTCATTGACGTACCTCTGAACGCTTCAACGTGCCTGTAGAGTAGAAGGTCGCGATTAATCGAAAGTTTCGGAAAGGAAAGCGCGTCAACCGCGATAGCAAACCAGCAGTTTGGACTGACATTGAAATTTTATTCGGCAAAATTACAGCTTGTTTTGGCAACCATGCGGTGTCTTCGTCGAGGCAAGATTTCTGACGAGCTTCGAACTCTGTTTATATTTCGAGTTATCGAAACTTCTCGTTAGAGGCTTAGTTCTCAACAATTCATCGAAGAGTAAACTGGCCTGTACGCAACCAATGAATCACTCGAAAAGAAACCAAGCCTTTAAGTTCGACTAAAATTGTTACGTCTGTGAGCCCTGCAAGTTGTTCAATCGCTCGAATCGAAACGCACTCGTGCCCCCGGATGCCGTCATTTTCATCGAAAAGCTACCATCGTGACTCGAAGGAACCAATTGGTGAATAGAAGTCATGTGTTTACGCAGGTGATGCTTGTGCATGAATCTATAGCCGCAAACTTCGCACGAGAACTGCGGCAACTTCCCGCATTCCACGCGTTTGTGCTTCAAAAGAGACTCCCTCCATTTGTACGATTTCCCGCAACTCTCGCAGAAGAATCTTGAAAGCAGGCTGTCCTCTGTCTCTTGACGCGATCCCGACGGTCGTCGACGATGGCCACCTGGTCGTCGCTGCATCGCATCTGCAAAATTATCCAAGCAGAACACAGTTGAGGAGTCAATCGAACGTCAACCGTACGCGGGGAAGAATTCTATTCCAAAAGGCAAACGAAACAGAGCGATTCTTCGACGCCTGCGGTCCCTGAAAGCGTAAAACATTTTACTCTGTGACGGATAAAGAAAACGTCGACGTTTCTAGATGATATATATTACAAAAATAATATACACACTTCGCGTTTCACGGTGAACAGTAAAAATCAGAGAACCGCGCGATACAAAATTGTCGTGGAGACTTCCATCGAAGTCAGTCGATATATTATATTACAAAGACAATGTTCACGCTCCATGCTTCGCAATAGTCAGACAAAGTCGAGCAATACTGCGCGATAAAAAAACAAATCGAACAGATTCCACGGATCCCCGGCCGCGATTAACAATTGGGAAAGTCCGAGCTTCGTGAATCTTTGAGACGGCAGCTCTTCAGGTGTTGCGTCACGTGGTGTTTGTGCTTGAACATTTTCCCGCACTGCGGACAGGGCACGTTGGGCATCTTCCCGCACTCGTAACGTAGATGTCGGTCCAGGGAACTCTTTTGGCTGTAGATCTTGCCGCAAGTACATATGTACTTCTTCGCAGACATGGTGAGCGAGGGTGACAGCTCGTAGCTCTCGAGCGTGAACCTCGGGTCTTTCGCGTGAAACAGGCCCATGTCATCTGAAATCAAAAATCGGTTCACTTCGTTAAAGACTTTTCGATCGCGGAGGCGTTTGTTGTATGCCTCGTTTTAACGCGCAGTGTCTTCTTTCTTCTTCAACGGGCATATGACATATTTACAAGATACTCTCTATGCCTAGAATTAATTTTAACTATTTTGGCCTGAAAGAGACCATCTTCTTTTACTTACACGGTTATAGAACCTATTCGCATCGACAATCGACGGTACTCGTATTGTTTCCTTCGAAGGAAGTCGCGTAGCCGCTCGGTAGACAGAGTTTAGCCCGAAGGTATCCACACAGGGTCAACCTTAACGAAACAGCAGCACTGTGTTAATGTTTATACTTTTCGTTCGCGCATCCATTCGCGAATGAACATCGATCAGAGAATTTTGTTTGTGTGTTCTCGGATTCGATGAAGTAGTTTCAGATAAGCTTCTTTATTACTGTGCGATAAAAGAGTGAGTTACATAGTGGTAGACGATGAAAGTACATAGAATTCGACGCTGTGCGTAAATCGCTCGACAATGGCTGTTTACATCGATTAGTTTTCGTTCGCTGCTCGCAATCCCTAGTAAAGCAAGGCTACTAATAGTCACGGTACATACAAAATATAACGGTTACATAATAAATGCGTTTTCAGCAACACGATTGCTCCATCTTTCATGAATTCAAGTGACAATTTCAATTTTCGTACTTTTCTCCTTACCGCCGCCAGCAACGATTATCTGTAAATTCGTATCATTCAGCCATCAAGACGATTTCCATGAGTATCTCCGAATTTTGTAATAACGGAGATCTCGTAAGCGCTGATATTTTTGCTGGCTATGTCTCGAAAAAAAGGTAAAACACCCTGAACGCGTGATCGCAACGATTATACGATTATCATAGAATTATTATACGATCATAGTAAGATTATAATGGTTTTACATCTATACGATTATATTATTGGATATAACTTCAAGTAATCAAACGTGTGATGTTGTATAACATTCACAATTCCGTTTAACAGGATACTAACGTATTACCGATATTATAGGATAATATTATTTTAGAGTAACGGCTGGTGGACAAATATCGGACGTTGTCTACCGTTTACTACAGTAGTAATTAACGCTCTTGTCAATTCTCCGCAAAACCCCATAAGATTATACCCGTTACTCGAAGAATGCGGTCTAGAATATATTTTCTTAACGTACGTACGCCAGAAAGGCCCATATTATTACGAGGATTTTTTCATCAGTTGCTGGTTTATGCAATGAGCGCAGATGTCGATGTGAGTCGTTCGGTTAGTTTGTTGGTTTTGAAGGTGCAGCAGTGGCACCGGAATTGCTCGTCGCATTCGTCTCGCTGGTGACACAGCATCGAGAACACGTATACTGATTACATAGCAAATGCGTTTTCAGCTACACGCTTGCTCCATCTTTATTGTATTTGAGTGACAATTTCAAATATACTCCTTTCCTTACCAGCAACGTTTACATTGCGATTATTTTTGACCTCGTATCCGTGAACCACCAAGACAATTTCCACGAGTACCTCCGAATTTTGTAATGTCGGAGGTCTCCTAAGCGCTGGTATTTTTGATGGCTAGGTCTCGAAAAAAAAAGGTGAAACAGCTTTGAACAAATGACCGCAACGATTATATGATTATCATAGGATTATTATGCCATTATTATAGGATTATAGTAAGATTATAATATTACTGGATAATAAGTTCAAGTAATCAAACGTGTGATGTTGTATAACATTCACTATTCCGTTTAAAAGGAGACTAACGTATTACTAATATTATAGGATAACATTATTTTAGAATAACGGCTAGTGGACAAATATCCGATGTTGTATACCGTTCACCACAATAGTAATTAATACTCTCGCGAATTATACGCAAAACGCCAAAAGATTATACCCGTTACTCGAAGAGTGGCGGTCTAGTATACATTTTCTTAACATACGTATGCCAGAAGGACCCATTTTACTACGGGGACCTTTTCATCAATTGCTGGTCTATGTACTGAGCGCAGGTGTCGATGTGAGTCGTCCAGTTAGATAGTTTGTCGGTCTTGAAGCTGCAGTAATGGCACCGGAACTGCTCGCCGCATTCGTCCCGCTGGTGACACAGCATCGAGAACATGTACTTGAAACGACGTCCACAGTAGCAGTACAAGCGTGTATCTGAAAAAGAAAAAAACGGAAAATGTGTCAGTATCATGCATATGGTGTCGTATATAAAAATTAACTACACATTGAAACAATACGGTTAAATCGTAACGCTATTCGTGTAGGATCGAGGCGACAATTGTACGGGGTGTTTCTAGAAGGCCTTGCCCAGCTTTGAAGGTACATTCTACCGATCTTGCAGAAACACTCTGTACATTTGTGTGCTTATCGCGGTACAAATGTAAAAAACAGAACCGAGGTGACGACAAACGAAAAATTCCAGGAGACAGATGGTTGCTGAATAATTAAATTCAATTCTTTATTATTTGTCGAGTATCCTCGCTAACACAATGGTTATCAGTGATACACTCACAATGGTAATCGTAACTTTAAAGTTCGCAAAAAAAAAAAAAACAAAAATCGTAAACCATAAAGAATATATCGTACATGTAACGCTCGTGCATGTAACGCGCGACTCTCGCTCTGTTGCGTATATTTCACACGTGTTACCCGATTGAACATGAATATTGTATGCAATTATAGTTTTGTTTTTTTATCTCTCGCATAATATTCAACCTTCCTACCTGTCGCTATCGTCGCCTGTACTTCCGAAAGCTCTCCGTGTCGGGGAGAGAAAAAAAGAGTCAAACGCTTACGTGCTAATTATTATCATCGATCTCCTTAAAAGCAAGAGGTATTCCTTTCTTTGGGCTTCGGATTTCAGCATTCATATTTTCCGTCTCTCACTTGTCTCGCGACAAACTGGCGAGAATCGTCGGATTCTACATCGTATAGCGTATTGTACAATCATAATTCTTATTTACATACTGTACGCAGGTGTGGCAAAATTAGTGGTATAAGGGAACGATTCTTGGTGTAAAACTGCATCGAAATTGTGGTATAACATTTTTCCAAACGGGGCTTTGTTTACTAGAAATGTGTCCATGTCTGACAATTATTGACTGTAACTAGTTGCACTGATCTTTGCAAGCGCTGACGGTGGTTTTATCGATTTTAATTGGTTCTCACTAGTTAGAATATGAATTTTGAAGATTGATTTTCCAAGAAAGCCAAAGCCTCGTGTCAAAACAAATTTTATTTCACTTTTTTTATTCACTTTTTCACGAAAGATCACTCCTGATTATACTACGAATTTTGTCACGAACTGGACACCTCCACTTAAACTTAAATGTCACCTCGAACATCGTCGCGTGTGTATACGTGTATAAACATAATCTCCGTCTCTTGATCGATTATTTGTACACGCGTATACAGCGAATCGCCTGGCTTTTACGTATAACGTGGCTTGAAAATAATTCTATAGGCATTTGGTGTATCAACTATATCGCATAGCTAGTCTGATTTATATTGGCACAAGGGTTGCAAAATCAACGGAAGCGTGCTTGAAAGGATCTCCATTTGATTTATTCGACTTTGAATTCGATTTCACGATCGTCCTGTCAAATAAATTCGATGAAATCTTTTCCCAGCACGGTATTAATCGTTTTCTTCGATCTCTGTTCTCTTGACATCATATCCTAGATCGCAAACGGCAATCAGCGACGAATTTCTGTCGCGTTACCCTCTGACGCTATCGTATCTACGTTACGTGATATAACAGACGCTTTTAATAAATGCATGTATACCTCTCACTTCTTACGATTTTTGTTATCAGTCTTTGCGCTTCTGTTTACGCTACACTTTTATTCGTCCGCGTGCGAAAATTGTGACCGTGAAACGCAAGCTTGGCTGAAAATTTAACTCCTCTTGGCTCACCGTTAACGATTAATCCTTCGTTTTCTATACTGCTCATCGTTGGAAGACACGTTCTGTTCCCGCAACGCTTGGTAAAAACAACGTTCGTTTCAACGGGTCATCGAACGACGTTCCGCCGTCTGTAAACGATCGATCGCTAAAGATTGCATCTCTAAAAATAATTTTGCTGGTTTCGGCTTGAACGTTCGAATAAAACAGGATACAATTCTGTACGCTCGGATGGGGATCTCGCGGTTCTGTACGAAAACGGATATGAAAACACGACATCGATAACAATAACATTCAGTTCACACTGATAACAGTAGCATTCTGATCACATTTTAGGCACATGGAGTCGACTCGAACGACGCGCGAGAGTCTTCTTAAAAAACCGCTTCGAATTCTTTGGCACAAAGTAGCTCGCGAAGGAAAAACGGAAGAGGCTGGGCGTTCAGCACGTGCAGCTTTCAAATAGTTCGACACGAGTCTGCGTGAAAGTTTTCAAGACCAACGAGGACCAGCGCGTAGAAGCTGAGAGGTTCACAGTTTCGTCTCGAAGATCTCGTCGACGTTGCTCTCTTTCCAAAAAGCTCTTTCAAAACTCATCGACGAGACGATCGCGATCTCTGACACGAAAGACGGGTAAGTCGAGCGAGAGAATAGTCGAGAGATACCGTTGACGATGACCGAAGAAAGAAGCGGTCGATCGTCCAACATCTAGGTCTAAGATCGTCCAACATCTAGGTCTAACTTGGATTCGATCGAACAATTCTCAAGATTAGAGGATGATCGTTTTGTCAGTCTCGAAGTAGCTGTTATTCGCTGCACGTTTCCACTCTTTGGTTTAGAGTCTTAACGCAAGATAAATAATAGCTAGCGCGAGACAGGAGAAACGCCATCCGTCAATTTGTATACATACAAGCTTGTCTATGAATAATTATCAAGATTTAAGATAGAAGACGCTTAAGGGTAAGAGTAAGCGAGACGCTCAAAAAGCTCGCTAGAGTATTTCGAACAGAGCACAGGTCGTGCCCAGAGGAGACAGAGCTGAGATTGTGAGAGAAGAGAGGAAGATAGTGAAACTGGAAAGTTTGGTAAAATTCTTCTAATCCTACGAGGATAAATACGAGATTCAACGCCTCTATAGTATTATCGATATACGCTTCTTCGCTGATTCACGCTTGGCCGGTGCGCGGATCGTCGTCGGGCTTCGATTTGACTAGAATCCTGTCACGGTATAATTCTTTGTCGAGTCTTTGGTCCTTGATCGAGGAGTATTCTCGAATTCGTTGGGTCTCGAAGGAAGCTCGTGGTGTCGCGCGAATTTGTCGCGAGGATCGTATCGAATGTATCGTACTGTTCACGATGGTGACGGAAATGATCGTAAAGTCGTTGTTCGCTCTCAAAATAATGTTTCCTTTGCGTTTTTGAGAACGCAATGTTTCACCGTCGAAGATTTCGGAGGTTCGTTTATCGGTATCGATTACTAACGTTATCACAGAGATCCACGCGCGATAAAAACTCGAATCCGACGGATCCCGTGTTCCGGCCAAGCCACGTGGAAAGACATGTTTCTGTTTCAACCGCAACGTACGCATACGATTTTCAATTACAATTTACATCATCACTGTAAACTTACTATGCAATAGGTATATGTATATGTCTATGTATAATGTATAATATATTATATATATAATATATATATATATATTTTTTTTTGATTTAAATATACTCTCTATCTTGGGTATTCTATGGTAGGTAGCGGTCTATTTAGACCTTTCTCTAAACTAGACGACTCTAATTCAAACGAAAGGAACCGGCGTCAAGTCGTCGAACGAATCGACGTGGAATCCTTTTCTATACACTTTCGATCCCCAAACTCGTTCGACCACGTCGTCGGTTCGCAAAATCTACGCACAATCTCCGACAAAAATAATGTAACATCGCTCCCGCGTGGACGACGACGAGCCTTTTATCGCGCTGAAACAATAAAAAGGCAACGATGCTCGAACGATTTTTCCGTTCAACCGGTCCCCTCGACGTCACACGGGAGGAACCGTCATTCGCGAACGAGAACTAACGTTTGCCTGACTAGATTTTCTGAACGTTACTTAAGCTAGGTTACACTAGAGAGCTAGAACCGGGATACTAGTTGCTACTGTCAGAGATTTTTCGTTGCACCGAGAACATCGACTCTTTCGACTAACGATAAGAATCGAGACTTGTTTCTCTCGATCGTCGCAGGATATCTGTGCGCAACTCGATCGTCATGGCCGTCGAATCATGCTATTTACGCGGCCACGATCATCGAGCTGGCCTGCCTTCGACCGATTCGATCAACAGATCACGGAACCCCTGTCGCCAAAAACGTTCGTTTCCGTATCCGTGATGGCTCGCGGGGAAACACCTGCTTCCCTTATAATTAGTACAAAAATAAGTGGGCAATTGGGTAATCTGCCAAAAACTCGAAAAGATCCCGGAAAAGTGCCACGTTGCTCGCGACGCTCGAGCAACCGCGAAGCAAAAACCATCGGTGGCGTCGAATAGCGTCGTCAAACAAACGTTTATTTTGTCATTCTTCGAGATTCTGCTAAACACCGGGTGACTCGCGTAAATCGATCGGGTTGTTTTCGAAACACGAAGGGGAACAAAGAAACCATTCCGTTTAGATCATTACCGAAGGCATTCGACATTATCCGAGGGTCGAATTTATTTTTTCTCAATAGAATGCCCCAATTTTTTCAACGATTTCCCGTTAGAAAAAAGTATACAATCAACCTTCGGATGAGACCAATGCCTCCAAATAGAAACTAATCGCGATGCATTCCTCCTCCAATCGAACACCTTTACCTCGACAACTTTTTTGTATTTCACTTTTGTCCTTTAAATTTGGAAAATATAATATTTCTGTATAACATCACCTTCCTCCGTATTTTCGCGTACACTTTAGCAGACTTTTCCGGCGCTCTTCTCGAGCCTCCTAAAATATTCAACAATGCGTTTTACATTATATATCCCCCTTTATACATGGTTAAATGGGATCCAACAACGGCTTCGCGCCATGGCGTCACGGTGAGTCGCTACTTTTTTGTAACAAGAGCGACGAGACCGTCTTTAATTTTCGTCGACTCGATTTAAAAACGACGAGCACTCTCTAACTCTGGTTACCGCGTTCCCAACGGGAAGCTAAAGCAAAGCGAATTCATTCGAGTTGCATGACGGAAGTGTATTGTCACATGTACGCGACTATTTCGAATCGCGTCAGTCAAGATCAGTTTGTTGTACTCCGTCCGACTAATTATCAAGAACTTGCGTTAGCGCGGCAAGAACTCACGTTGAAAAATTTGAAAAGAATAATTAAAAATTAAAACGAATCAAATTGTTTGGTAACGAAACTTAAAAAAAAAAAAAAGAAAAAAAGAGCTGTCGTGTAAGTGGAAGAGAAAACGTAACATTGTATAGTCCTTTTGGTTGAAAACGCAAGTAAATTGTTGCACAACGTTGTCATGGCTGGGTTAGGTACGCGGATGATACGGATTCTTTCTTCCTAGGTATCTACTTCGAAGTTCTCGACAGAATAAGGATTAATTCGTGTCGGCAACTTTCTGGCTTTTGGTAGAGGCCTGTATGGGTAGTAAATCCTCTCCTATAAAAAGAGACCTCCACCGAACGCTACAGTCGCCGGCACGAGTGGTCTCTGAAACTCTCTAAGGTTCGACAACCGAAGGAATCGACTTGGGAAACACGAACAAACTCAGACTCCTCGCAAGTCGACTGTTTCGTCGTCGAATCATAGCGAGCGCAAGAATTTTTTCACGCGAGAGACAAAACTGTACAGCTAAGCCTGCAACCCAACGAATCCGTGTCACCTGGCGTACACGATTTCCAAGATCTCTAAATTAATCGCGACCTAACGAAGCGCCCGTTTCGGCGATTCTCGGCTCTTACGGGCGCTCGTTCGTCTCTTTCGCCCTCTAGGGCTGGATAGGACTCTCCTTCAGGCCCTCTGGTTCACGGCAGTGCCAGACTGCGAGGGCTGCGCTACAACGTGACGGTGGTTAATGTGTGCTTTCACGTTCCTCTCGTACTTGGAGCTGAAGGCGCAGTGAGGACAGTTGAACGAGGGATCCTTGCCGCACTCGAAGCGCAAGTGTCTCTTGAGGATGTACGCGTTCTTGTAGCTCTTGCCGCAACTGGAGCAGTTGTGGCGACGATCTTGGCCCGAGATGCTGCCGATCGGTTGATTGTTGTTGTTGTTGCTGCTGCTGCTGCTGCTGCTGCTTCTGGGGGGATGACGCGAGGGACAATGGAGTCTGGCGCGACGCTGGGGCGTCAACGGCGCCGGCACCGTCTCGTTCAAAGACGCCCGCGACACACGCCTCGTCCCATCTGAATTCCAGCCCAGGCTCGCGAAGAAACCTGCGAACAATCGAAACAGAGGTTTCGACGGATCGATTAGTTTTGCCGGGATCTGTTTTTGTTCTCTACGTGGTTCGTTGGTTACACGACTGCTCTTTACAACGGCGCGGGCCATGCGATAAAAAGAAAAAACATTCATGTTCTCAAGCTTAGCAACAACGAGCATGTCAAAGGGGAGGAGGATCAACGGGGGACGATTACGTTCTCGGGGTTATTTGGTGATTCTACTCGCGGAGGATCTCCTCGCAGGCTGCTCTATCGCCGAGGAGATCCTCTCAGGGGTACGTTCTCGCGCTCTGCGGGAACGAGCTGATCGTTAATGACGCGCTTTTATGCAAAACGCTTCTTCGGGAGAACACGTTGCGATTGGTGGACGGATCGTTGATGAAACTGAATTTTCTTTGCGTATGTACCTAGGGTTTCTTCTCTTCTGTTCCGGCTGCAAGGGAGCCGTTGCCTTCTTGAAGCACTCGCGGACCTGGAACTCAACACACGCGTCGATTAATGACAAAATTCTAGACACTGACAGTGGTTCGACGATAGATCGCAAGAGGCATAGTTTCGAAGAAGGAAATTTGGCAGAGGTCGGGATAAGTTAAGAATGCTCTTTTCTGCATCCGCGAAGGTCCTCTTCGTAGAAATCGCCATGTCGGATGATCCACGGCCGGAACACCTGCGAAAAATAAAACCGGTCAGTATGCGGAAGTGCGATAAAATATTTTCGTACCGATCGATGCTTCTCCCAGTCGTGTGCCTCTCGTCGAAGTCCAGGCGAATGTCGTTGGAAATCCACGGCGTGGTCTGAGGGCTGGCAAGAAGAACAGGAAACACGGAGTACTTGCCTTTCTAGACTTTATTTTTCTCTAAATCGAATACAAGGCTCTCTACAAATTGACAAAAAAGGAGGGAAACAAGCATTTTGGAATGTTCGAAAAGTCGAAACGATACGTGTACAAAGAAATGAAAAGGAAGCACAGTGGTAGAAAATAGGAAGCGAACGACCGGCCAGTCGACGGACTCGCGCGGATAATCGCGCGAGCGAGTGACTCGAAGGCAAGAAGGCGTCGTCCGCGCGCGATCCCAACCGCCGATCGTTCCACGAATTTCACAAGCAAGCGACTTTTCTCGCGCGATACAACGAAGCCAATAAAACGGCGACGCGTCATTATTATTCGTCATCTTGTGTACGTGTGTGAGTGTACGTGTAGGTGTACGTGTACGCGTGGATTTCATCCCCCGTTTCGCCGCTGCGAGCGATACACTTGATCTCGGCGAGCGCGGCAACGGCACGCTCGATTGTTCGTGTGCTACAATAACGTGTTCTGTATATACGTGGGTTTACATGCATGCGAATTCGTCGCAAGAGAACAAGCAAAAAAAAAATTATCTAGAAAGAATATCGTTATCATCGTAGCGTATCATCGTTAATAATTATTGCTCCCTAAATAATATTAATATAAAATGGAGAGAAAAAAAAAAAGTAATAATTAATAAATCATCGTTCGTTGGCAAATACATGGCGACAAAGAAATTACGATTACAATGTATGTTTTGCGTTCGAGGCGCTGAGCGGAAGTTGTAGTCGCGTTATTTTTACGTGCTCTCTGTTCTCTCTCGTTCGCTCAAGCGCGCGCGCACATTCTCTTGCTTTCCTTTCATTCGCGTACACACGCACGCACACTGTTTCGCTTTTTCTCCCCCTCCTGCCAACCCCTAATTGGCTTTCCCGTGTTCTCACTGGCACTCTTACTTTCGCTCGCTCCCACTCGTTCTTATCTTTCACTCGCTCTCTTTCCGCCTGTCTCTCTATACAGTCGAGTACTGTGCTTGTACTAATTGTAAGAATATCGTACTTAAGCTCGGGACGCGAGATACCTTCTCGAGCGTGGTGAATTTCGTTGTCGGCACTAATACTTTTGTCGCTGGCACCGTAACACGGTTCAAGCTCGATGGACGTTTGTGCCTGGAAGGTTCAAATCAGGCGCGTCACCCTTATGGCGCTCTATGGGGATCCCTCGAACGCTGCGTCGAGGAGGCATCACGCGCCCGATGTTCTACAGCAGCGCTTCCCAGACTTTGCTCTCCGTGGACACCCTTGGTGAAAGGAAATTGTTTGCGAACGGGTTACTTGAAAAATGCTCCCTTATAGAAAATGTGTATACGGTTTAAAAGCTTCGACTTGATTTGAATACGATCTACGTTTCTTCTATCGGTTAAAACGTTTCCAATCTTCTGCACTGGCATGTCAGATAAAATTGCCTCGTCGCAGACGAAAAATCCAATAAAATTCGCTACCTTATAAAATGCTTCTTCTTTCGCGAGCTTGGGATTTCCCGGGTTCCACGGGCGCCAGTTTGGAAAACACTGTTCCACGGGACGCCCCGAAACACGCGACGAGACTCGATGATCTCTCGCGTGTTTTGGGTCGCTCCGCAGGTAAATTCACTATTATTTATTACAGATAATTGTACTGTTTAATCAATAGAGACGAACGAACGAAAGAAATGTAAAGGAGTACGCGAGTACCGCCATACCCGTTTATCGAAAACAAAACGAAGAGTAAGTGGAAAAATACAAAAGTAAAGGGGGTAAACGTATGACGCGCAGGAATAAATAGAGATTGAAGGAAAATTATACGCGCGGGAATCACATTGCGGTTGTCAGGATTCGAGGGGAAAAAAAAGGAAGAAAATAATAAAAAAAGAAAAGGAACAAATGTAACGCGTAAGGGATATATGGTGGTGTCATTATGTATGTAATATGGATCGACAACGAAGATGTGTACGTCTTAGCGGATATATTGGCAGTATAAAGGCGAGTGATCGAGATTAAATTCTGCTTCTTTCGGCGTAAATAAATAATTTCTAAAAAAATATCACTGGTCTCAAGATGTTTGCCGAGTGTCACCTATAAAGCGGTATCGTTTCGCGCGGTGCGCGATGGCGGACGCGTCCACCCGTCACCGTTAAAAAAAACTGTCTTGAATGTTTCTCGGACTTTGGCGATTTTCGTAGCCGAGTTTTCGCAAGACGGTGAAGATCATCCGCCAGAGGGCACGCGCAGGTTTGTCTTTCCTGTACATGACACTCGGCCAATAATACCGTAAAAATTCGTTCACAGCTGGATGCGCCCAGCGCCTCTTGTTATTTCATTTTTCTTTTCATCTATCCTAAAATCTAAGTCGTACTTGAAGGCACTTAACACAAGGCTCTCTCGGTTCAAAAAGCTACTTCCTCCCCTTATTTTTCTTTTTTAGACGTCTTTCCCGAATGTTCGTCCCGAACACGCGTTTTGCGAAAGAGCTAAAGAAAACTGTCCACGGGTATTTTTGTTTCATATTTTTTTTTTAATTTGTCATTGCTGGATTCTAACGGTAGAACGTTCCTCCACGTTAATTTGCGACTTTTCGCGTCTCAATTCCCGTTCACCGTAATTTCGAAACGGAGTTTGTTTCCCCCTCTGTCATCGATGGTCGCCTTTGTCGCGAGACCGTGGTCCGACAAGAAATCAACTGTGCCTCGCTTCATGCGGAAAATAAGTTTTGAAGAATGGAACGTTTTCTCGCGAAACGATAAATGTAACAACGTCAACGAATTTCCGATAAACGTATCGCAGTGCCTGACTGCGGCTTCTTTTTCGCTCTTAGAAATTTCATTCATAATACGGTGATTATAGTACGGTATATAGTACGACGTTTCTAATTTAAAAAAAAAAAAAATAATAATATTCATATACGCTCTCTCCTTGGTTTCCCTCCGATAGTACGGATCATTGTTCGCTGCAGAGACGGGCAAAATTTTATTCGAACGATAAAGTGTTTCTCTTTTATAAAACAATTGCAATTATCATGGAAAAACCACGTCGCGTACCTCTTACTCTTTACTCGAAATTGTCTCTTTTAGATAAGCATTTGCCCATCTCTGATTCACTCATTTCACCTTGCACTCGCGTTCTTTCCTCGGCGAGCACCGATTATCAAAATTTCATTAGACTCAGAAATCACCGGGCGGTTAACAATAAAAGTACGAATCATCGCGAAAAAATCCTAACGTTAAAGATAATTTTCGAAAAGGCTTCAAAGCCTATCCATAAGTATTTTCCTCGTATAATTTCTCAATATAATTTCTTTCCTATCTCCTTAAAAGCTAAACACCCGCCACGCAGTGTTTCCACGGCTCGCCAAGGGGGCACAGTACATCCCCGTTAGATGCGACCAATTTCTTCTCCCCGCTTACAAGCAACGAAGTTGATTTCCACAAATATCGTTGTGTGTACTTTTATGTTCAACACGATTTGGTTGCATAAAAGCAGGGAATACTGTGCTTCGATCGTTTCTCGCTGGCCTTCATTTCCTAACCATTTCCTCGCTTTTCACGGTTCCCTGGTTTTGGAAATTTTCTCATTCTTTTCGACGCACGTCAAGCGTAACAAAAGCATTAGACTCGCCAAAGTGTCGTAGCATACCGAATTTCAACGGACAGATTCGATCGAGTTGAAACGAAAATTGAAATTCTCGATGGAGACATTTCTAGCTACAGAAAAGAGCAAGTTTCTATTCCCTCCCTGTTTTTAGAGTTTACGATAGAACTTCGCTGTCACTTTTGTCGACCCGAGGACGATCACTTTATTATACTTTCTTTTTTTCTCGTTTTCGCGATCCAGCAGTATCCCTTCGATTAATTCTTTCCTTCACGGTGCATTCGTGCGGAAATATACTATGTCATACAAAAAATAAAGCACTGTACTTTCTAAATTCCTGGATGGCATGTCTTTTCGCGAATTACGCTCTACATTCCCTACGCGTTACTGTACGTGTATCCTTCCCGATCTACGCGTGCCAGAAAACGTTTATTTTCATAGACCGCATCTCGCCAGGTGCCGCGAAACAAAGAAAACTCGGCCATTCGAGAAACCACACGAGCCTATATCTTAACACCCTTAACGAATAATATTTTTGTTTAAAAAAAAAAAAGAAAAAGAAAAAGAACGATATACCATATCGCGATAAATTTCGATCTAAACTGCGAAGCAACATAATATTTTTTCACTTTTCCCCCTTTTTTCATTTTTTTTTTCTCGTTTTGTTAATAACATATACATTTCGAATAATCCTCTCCTATATAGATATACGTTTAATTAAAAAAAGATATCTCTGCATCGAAGCCGCGAACAATCGCCTAATAAATAGATTTATATTTCTCTTTCTCTCTCGGCAAACAAAATCGTTATAAATTTCGCGGTAACGATCGTACCGAAATCTCGTTAAGTTCCAATAAAAAAAAAAAAAAATTCTAATAATAAATGTTCAACGCGAGCACGTGAAGTTTCTCGTGGGACCCTTAACATTTTAAATTTAGCGTCTAAATATCACACTATGCGCGCATTCTCTAATCTATCGCGAGCTACGGAATCACGGACGAGGCTCCCTCCACGAGTCGAACAAACAAAATTGCCCCGACGGTGACACGACGATCCGATAATATCGATTTACTCTGCTACGGACGCGTCGTGTCAAACGGAAATGGTGGAAAAAAAAAAGTCGTGAAATGAAAATGCAAAACTGTC